ATCCCATGTATTACTGGTAAAAGACTAAATACAACCTCTAGAGAGAGTAGTCTGGCAGTTATAGAAATTTAAAGTGCACACAGCTTTGACCCATAATTCTGTGTTTACTCAATACATTCATTCTTTCATTTGCTTGTTCATTCTTTTACCTATTTACTAAGCATCTCTATGTGCTAAGCATTGTCTGAGGCACTGGAGATACAGCAGCAAATAAAACGAAGTCTCCACTCATGCAACTTATTCACTAGAGGGGAATCTAGACAGCTTCAAACATAAGCATATAACATGACATAATACATTATAATGTAATATGCAGTAAAATATGATATATATATATCCCACTGTGTATGAACAGAGAGTGATGGAATAGGACAATTCTACTTTAGATAGAATGGATAAAGAAGGCCTTTCAGAGGAGGTAACATTTCAGGAGAGACCTGGTTAAAGTAAGGCAGTGAACAGAAGCGTCTCTTGGTGGGGAGAAGGGTGAGGGACAATCCAGACTGAAGGAAGAACAAACGCAAAAGCCTTACAAATGCCTGAGTATTGATTTACAGTATTGTAACTATGAAAGGTTGCAAACAATTTAAATGTTCAACAAGGCATTTAGTGACTGGTTAAATTATGGTGCATCTATAGGTGAGACACTATTACACTATTAGCAATGAATAAAGCAACTCCATATGTACTAAAAAATAATAGTCAAGAGAATGAGAAGACTAGTTGCAGACTGGGATCAAATATTTGCAAAAAACACTTCTGATAAAGAACCTTATTCAAAATATACAAAGAACTCTTAAAACTAAACAATAAGAAAAGAAACAACCTAGTTTTAAAAAAAAGCCAGAGATCTGGAGATACATGTCACCAAATATCATATGATATTTGTGTCTCTGTGTCTGACTTAATTCACCTAGTATGGACAATCTCTAGGCCCATCCATGTGGCTACAAGTAGCATTATTTTGTTCTTTTTAGTGGTTGAGTAATATTCCGTTGTGTATATGTACTACATCTTCTTTATTCCTCCATCAGTAGACATTTACAGTTTCATATTTTGGCTATTGTAAATAGTGCTGCAGTGAACACTGAAGTGTGTTTATCTTTTCAAATGACGGTTTTCTCTGGCTATATGCCCAGGGGTGGGGTTGTTGGGTCATGTAGTAGTTTTATTTTTAGTTTCTTAAAGAACCTCCATACAGTTCTCCATAGTAGCTGTACCAATTTACATCCCCAGCCACAGTATAGGAGGGTCGCCTTCTCTCCACATCCTCTCCAGCATTATCTCATCTGTTAAACAAGAAAACAGATCATGCACCCAACCTGGGCTGGTGATCTGTTTCACCCTAGATAATATACATGTTTCGATGCTGTTCTCTTGAAACATCCCACCCTCGCCTTCTCCCAGAGTCCACAAGTCTGTTCTATACATCTGAGTCTCTTTTTCTGTTTTGCATATAGGGTTATCTCACCAGCCCAGGTTGGGTGCATGAGACAAGTGCTCGGGCCTGGTGCATTGGGAAGACCCAGAGGGATCGGGTGGAGAGGGAGGTGGGAGGGGGGACTGGGATGGGGAATACATGTAAATCCATGGCTAATTCATTTCAATGTATGACAAAAACCACTGCAATGATGTAAAGTAATTAGCCTCCAACTAATAAAAATAAATGGGAAAAAAAAAAAAAAGAAAACAGATCAGCATGAGTGACAGAGAGCTGAGATATGAGGGCAAGGTTGTGTCAGAGAAGTTTTTTAAATAGGTGGTTTAGATGTAAAGCTACAAGGGACTCTACTCAAATTGTTATGTAACTCACTTGACATTCCCAGCACAGATGATGAAATGCTGCAAGATGCAGGAACAGATTCACACAACTTTAAACTGCATGAAGTATTTGGTTTTTACTCCCAGTTTCTTAAATAAAAATTGCAGTGAATATATATATATGTACACATATATATACTTTGTATCTATATTATACATATTTTAATATATTTATATTATATTCATTTATATATTCCTATTGTTTATATATTAAATATAAATTAAATATTAATTATATGTTGTATATATACTTATAAATTTGATGTGGCCATTTTTAAAATTTGATATGGTCCTATCACTGAAATTATAATTTTATATTTTTCTTCAACTTAATTCATTCTTAATGGGATTAACCATAAAAAAAAATCCTTTTCCAGTAATTTTTGTCATCTGAATATGTATTGTCATCATTTTTATATCTTCTCATTCATTAAAACATAATTTTTGTATTGTCTTTCCATGTATAAATTGTCAGTTTTGAAATATGGTACTTTTTCTTTCCCCCAGCCACAGTGCAAGAGAGCCAAAGAAGGTAAACTTGAAAGGAGGAGGTTATTTGTGTAGTAAGGGAAAACAGTCTTCCAATTCTGCTATCTTCTGCTTTTCTCTCCTCTATGCCTAATGCAATTACATAACTGAAATGCACAAAAGTGACTCCATATCCTCTTTGCTCTTAAAACAATGGAATCTATAAAAATTAAGATACTTTGTGTAGCTTAAACCTTCTTTCATTAAAGTAAAAGTGTTAGTCACTCAGTCACGTCTGACTGTTTACAACCCCATGGACTGTAACTTCTGTCCACAGAATTCTAGAGGCGACAATACTGGAGTGGGTTGCCATTGCCTTCTCCTGACCCAGGGATTGAACCTGTGTCTCCTGTATTGCAAGCAGTTTCTTTACTGTCTGAGCCACCAGGGAAAATAAGCAAATTTTAAATAAGTGAGTTTTTTTCTTATATACAAAGCAGAAATGAACCCACAGACATAGAAAACTTATGGTTACCATAGGGGAAGGGGGAAAAGGATAAGTTAGAAGGTTGGGATTAACATATACATACTACCATATATAAAATAGATAACCAACAGGAACCTAATATATAGCATAGGGAACCATATTCAATATTTTGCAAAAACCTACAAGGGAAAATAACCTGGGAAAAATGTACATATGTATAACTGAACACAACATTGGAAACCATCCATACTTCAATTTAAAAAATGAGTATAATGCTCCCCTCCAGAAAATAAGTAGTTCTTTCAGATTTAACTGTTTTAAATTATTTTTTGCAACTATGCATAAAGATCCCTTTTCTTCTCTGAAGCACTTCAGATATATTAACTAAGAATTTAGACTTTTTCTGCTTTTCTAGAAAGATGAGCAAATAATATATTTAAGAAGGAAGCAAGTTCCTTAAAACTGAGCACTTCTTATGTATTCGTTAAAGAGTTATCTATAGATCTTGCTGGAGAACTTTTTTCTAATTAGCTGGCTTTTCAGACCAATAGTTTTGTCTTTATATTTTGTGCTCTCACCTGAACTTTGAAGGGCAGACATAAGTCATTTATTCTGTTTTTCAGTAGATATTTATTGGTCATCTACTTTGTGCCAAGCAGTGCTTTATTATATCACACTTTTTCAGTATAAACAGAGTTGAGATTTTTTTAAAGTATATCTGATTTACAATGTTGTGTTAATTTCTTCTGTATAGCAAAGTGATTCAGTTATACATATATATTCTTTTTTATATTCTTTTTCATTATGCTTTATCACAGGATATTGAATATAGTTCCCTATGCTATACAGTGAACCTTGTTTATCCATTCTGTATATAATAGTTCACATCTGCTAATCCCCAAATCCCAGTCCATCCCTCCCTCACTCCGCCTCAGCAACCACAAGTCTGTTCTCTATGTCTATGAGTCTGCTTCTGTTTTGTAGGTAAGTTCACTTGTGTCATATTTTAGATTCCACATATAAGTATGTCATATGATATTTGTCTTTCTCTATCTAACTTAATTCACTCAGTATGACACTCTCTGGGTCCATCCACATTACTACAGATGGCATTAATTCTTTTTTATGGCTGAGTAATATTCCATTGTACATCTGTATTGCATCTTCTTTATCCATTTCTCTGGCAATGATATGTTGCATTTTTTTTAAATGTGTCGAAGTTAGTTGATTTACAATGTTGTGTTAGTTTCAGGTGTAGAGCAAAGTGTGCTCTTATAAATACATATAATCCACTCTTTTCAGATTCTTTCCCATAGAGGTCATTACAGAGTGTTGAGTAGAGTTACCCATGCCATACAGTAGGTCCTCATAAGTTATTTATTTTATATGCAGTAGTGTGTATATGTCAACCCCAAACTTCCAGTTATCACCTGTCACATATTTTAAAGTAAATCCTAAGCTACAAGCTGTGTCCATTCAGGAAACATTACATATATACTATCTCCAAGATACCATGCAAGGCACAGGGATGAATATATTACTTTTCAGAAGAGAAGAGTCTATAATCTGAAGGCTACAAAAAATTGTGATTACATACTTATATTCAAACCACAAAAAATGTTTTCAAAACTGACTTCTTATCTGTAAGTCAAAATACATGTGCAGGTACGTAATGTACACACATTAATGATGCAAACTCTAACACAGAGATTCTCTGCTCCTCAAATTTTTGACCCGCCAATATCAAAGAATCAGAGTCTGACCATGGGAAACCCAACAGGCTTATTTTCCCTGATACAAGCACTTAAATGCATTTATATGTATTCTGTTAATGTCTTAGTGGTTTTGTTTTGTTTTTTTTCAGACCCTCTGCTCCCTCATAGTTGTTTGTTGTTTAGTCATTCAGTCTTGACCGACTCTTTGCAACCCCCCCTACCAGACTCCTCTGTCCATGAGATTCTCCAGGGAAGAATACTGGAGTGGGTTGCCATTTCCTCCTCCAGGGGATCTTCCTGACCCAGGGATTGAACCCACGTCTCTTGTGTTGGCAGGAGGATTCTTTACCACTGTGCCACCAGGGGGCCTGACTTAACTATATGCGTGTTGTCAGGCCTGAGGACCTCTTCCATCCTTGTCTGGGGGAGTGCTAACCTTCTCTCCTTTCATATAGCACTACTAATTGCTTTAACAAATTGTACGTAAAACTCTCATTTCTCCTCTGAAGACCAGGTGCTGGTGCAGAGAATCGTGCTGTGATTATAGATTGAGTCCTCCACTACAACCCTCTCCCCAGCCATGGACTCCTGAATCCATCTAACCTGAACACTACTACCAACTGGACCCCAGCATGTCACTCTCAAATGTGTACTTTTCACTCAGGTGGTACTCAGTGAATATCTGTTGAATGAATAACAACTGAAAAGGGATTACCAGTAGACAGACACAGTGTGTGTTCTACCCACTTTTGGAAAAGCCCTGTTCAAAATTTGTGTCATTTGAACAGTCAAGTAACATTCATCTTCTTCTCATTCATTTTTATACAAGGGGAATTTAAAATATGCTTAATCAAAAGTGTTCACTGAACAATTGGAGTGTTATTTGGGTTCTACAAACACCTGTGGTTTTAGACCCAGAGGTGGTCTAAGCAGCATTTCAGAAGTCTTTGTGTATACTTTTTATTTCTCATTGTCCTCACCTTCTCTGAAAAGAATGGCTGACAACCTTTCCTTGTGATATCTGAGCTTTTAAGAATGTTGTTTTATCTATTTTTTATGACCAACCTTACACTTGTTAAGTGTAATTTTGACTTTATGTAACATAAAAAACCTGTGATAGGGTGCTCTGTGAATTAACAAGATTGGCTGGACAAAAGACAAGAAATCGTTTAAAAACAAATATTCACATTAAATACCTTGGATAGGTAGGCCTTCTGGGGATTTTTCTCTAATGCAACAAAAGCACACCATTTCTGTTTTCAGAAATAGTTCCTCTCAGATCCAGAGCTCGTCTAAAGCCATATTACATAAGTAAGGGCTTTGTTTGTACATTGGCATTTTACATCTTACAATCTTACTAAATCCTTTTTTGATCAATCTGATATTGAACAGATCTATATTGATTTCTTGTACACTTGTTTATGGTATTTGTTTTGCTATATCTAAGATTAAAAGCCAAATTAACAAGTGTAGTCAATTTTCTTAGTGATAAAGAAAAGTCCTCTAGTACCCTTAGACACATTCATCTAGGGATTAAAAAAAAGACTTAAGTGAAGATGTTGTAACAAATGGATCGATTTATTCAATCACTGGGCGGAAGAACATTAGCTCTGGGAAAGGGCTTTCCTCTAAGAGCTTTAGTTACCGAGTTTCTCTTGTGTTGCACCAAATGATTTGCATTTTTAGAGAAATTTCATGTCTGCAGCGAGTTCCAGTGAAAACATGAATAAATTGCTTTTCTTTCTCTCTTTTTCTGACTTTATGAAGCTGAATCCATTAGGGGTTGAGTCAAAGTATAATGAAATAAAGGCAGCAACACACCCGATGGAAACCCTGGCTTAAGTTCTGCATTGCCCAAGCCGTTGTCTTGTTAGTGGTCTACAGGGAGATCCCTGGGGCATGTTGCAAATTTTTTAAACCACTACTTTAGAAACCATCTCTAGAAGACAAGAAAATAGACAAACAACAATTAGGAACTTGACAGGCTTTCCACAGCAATTCTTCACAAGGTCAAATAAATCCTTCTCTCTGAGCCTAACGCAGTACAACTACCTAAGATGCTTTCCTGTTACTCACCTTCCTTCTTTTTAATTCACTGGAGTGAGGGTGAATATGGCCTTGCCAATTGGTGCTAGTGGTAAAGAACCTACCTGCCAATGTAGGAGATGCAGGTTCTATTCCTGGGTTGAGAAGAGCCCATGGAGGCAGGCATGGCAACCCACTCCAGTATTCTTGCTTAGAGAATCCCATGGACAGAGGAGCCTGGCAGGCTACAGTCCATGGCGTCACAAAGAGTTGGACACAACTGAAGCAATTTAGCATGCATGAAATAGAATATGAAAAAGAATTTATATCTATGTATTATGTGTGTACAACTGAATTACTTTGCTGTGCCGCAGAAACTAACATGGCATTGTTCATCATCTACTCTTCAATAAAATGTATATCTGACAATAATTAGGATATGAGTTTTTTAATTTAAAAATTTTAAAAAGTTCTATCACATCCCCTCATACAAAATACACTCTCAATCCCATGGAAACAAATTTCATTTTTACTCATGATCTGAATGTTGCAGCTGAACAAAAGACAACCTGGTATCCTTCCTCCTTTTACCAAATGGGCTATTTTGCTCCAATGTTAAATAGTAGATATAAGAAAGAAGAAATTTATACAAAACAGTGAATCTCAAACTTTAGTGAGCAAGCAGTGACCTTGGTATCCTTTTAAAATGCAGATTCTGATTTACTAGATCTAGATTGGTAGATTTACAGGGTTTGGGAGGGAGAAGGGGGGTGGTTTCATAGAAAACAGTAATCTGATTTTGGTTATTCAATCTTGACCAGAAAAAAATGCAGAATCTGTAATGTGGCATTCACTGGAGAAATTTTTAAAATTGTATGAAGACATCAGCACTATATTTATGATAAATAAATAAAATGATTAAGATAATTAAGAAAGTGCCAGGACAGATTGATATATGTGGATCAGATACTCTCATTAAAAGATTAGATATCCAGAAAAAGAAATGCAGGATAATTCTTTGTCAATTCTGTGTCAATTCTTCATCCAGTCTGGCTCCATTCTGTATTTAAGATAATGATGCTTAAGGCAGAAAAAGAACCTATAATTTTGAGTTTGAATATACTTCTGATCCTTGTATAAATTTTAATAGGCTTCACATGTTAACAGAAGCCTTTGAAAATGGAATTGCTATGTACCAGAACCCATAATGGTATGACCTAAATCAAATCCCTTACAATTTTACAGTGGAAGTGAGAAATAGATTCAAGGGACTAGATCTGATAGACAGAGTTCCTCATGAACTATGGATGGAGGTTCATGACATTGTACAGGAGACAGAGATCAAGACCATCCCCCAGCAAAAGAAAAATGGCTGTCTGAGGAGGCCTCACAAATAGCTGAGAAAAGAAAAGAAGTGAAAAGCAAAGGAGAAAAGCAAAGATACACCCATTTGAATGCAGAGTTCCAAAGAATAGCAAGGAGAGATAAGAAAGCCTTCCTCAGTGATCAGTGCAAAGAAATAGAGGAAAACAATAGAAAGGGAAAGACTAGAGATCTCTTCAAGAAAATGAGAGATTATCTAAAAAAAAGAAAAAAAAAAAGAAAACAAACCAAAAAAAGAAAATGAGAGATACCAAGGGAACATTTCGTACAAAGATGGGAACAATAAAGGTCAGAAATGGTATGGACCTAACAGAAGCAGAAGATATTAAGAAGAGGTGGCAAGAATATACAGAACTATACAAAAACGATCTTCACGACCCAGATAATCACAATGGTATGATCACTCACCTAGAGTCAGACATCCTGGAGTATGAAGTCAAGTGGGTCTTAGAAAGCATCACTACGAACAAAGCTAGTGGAGGTGATGAAATTCCAATTGAGCTATTTCAAATCCTAAAAGATGATGCTGTGAAAGTGCTGCACTCAATATGTCGGCAAATTTGGAAAACTCAGCAGTGGCCACAGGATTGGAAAAGGTCCGTTTTCATTCCAGTCCCTTAGAAAGGCAGTGCCAAAGAACGTTCTAACTACCACACAATTGCATTCATCTCACAAGCTAGTAAAGTAATGCTCAAAATTCTCCAAGTCAGGCTTCAACAATATGTGAACCATGAACTTGCAGATGTTCAAGCTGGTTTTAGAAAAGGCAAAGGAACCAGAGATCAAATGGACAACATCCACTGGATTATCAAAAAAGCAAGAGAGTTCCAGAAAAACATCTATTTCTGCTTTATTGACTATGCCAAAGCCTTTGACTGTGTGGATTACCACAAATTGTGGAAAATTCTAGAGTTGAGAATACCAGACCACCTGATCTGCCTCTTGAGAAATCTGTATGCAGGTCAGGAAGCAACAGTTAGAACTGTACATAGAGCAACGATCTGGTTCCAAATCAGGAAAGGGGTACATCAAGGCTGTATATTGTCACCCTGCCTATTTAACTTACATGCAGTGTACATCATGAGAAACGCTGGGCTGGATGAAGCACAAGCTGGAATCAACATTGCCAGGAGAAATATCATTAACCTCAGATATGCAGATGACACCATCCTTATGGCAGAAAGTGAAGAGAAACTAAGGAGCCTCTTGATGAAAGTGAAAGAGGAGAGCAAAAAAGTTGGCTTAAACGTTCAGAAAACTAAGATCATGGCATCTGGTCCCATCACATCATGGCAAATAGATGGAGAAACAGTGACCGACTGTATTTTTTGGGCTCCAAAATCACCACAATGGTAACTGCAGCCATGAAATTAAAAGACACTTGCTCCTTGGAAGAAAAGCTATGACCAACCTAGATAGCATGCTAAAAAGCAGAGACATTACTTTGCCAGCAAAGGTCCATTTAGTCAAGGCTATGGTTTTTCCGGTGGTTATGTATGGTTGTGAGAGTTGGACTATAAAGAAAGCTGAGCGCTGAAGACTTGATGCTTTTGAATTGTAACGTTGGAGAAGATTCTTGAGAGTTCCTTGGACTGCAAGGCGATCCAACCAGTTCATCCTAAAGGAAATTAGTCCTGAATATTCATTGGAAAGACTGATGTTGAAGCTGACACTCCAATACTTTGGCCACCTGATGTGAAGAACTAACTCATTTGAAAAGACCCTGATCCTGGGAAAGATTGAAGGCATGAAGAGAAGGGGACGACAGAGGATGAGATGGCTGGATGGCATCACTGACTCAATGGACACGAGTTTGAGTAAACTCTGGGAGTTGGTGATGGACAGGGAGGCCTGGCGTGCTGCAGTCCATGGGGTCACAAAGAGTCGGACACGACTGAGCGACTAAACTGAGCTGAACTGAAAACTTGTAATATAAAAGGCTACAGGTCAGTTTAAGAGCATCTACCAAATCTACCCAAACTTAAAAGATGTGTCCTGCTTTAAAATTTGTCATATCTTGACCTTTATACTCATGATAGAATAACCGCATCATGATTTCTGCCTCAAAACACCAATGGAACAGATCACCTTGTTTGTTAACAAAAAGTAGGAAAGTATTACCAATAAAATGCTGATGGTTTTATTTTGGTCAAGGGTGGGTATTGTTTGGTTGGTTTTCATTATTGTTTTTGTTTTGTTTGGTAAAGTGGGACTAACTCTGCAATCTCAGGCTTTTGTTTACAGAATTGTTATAGACTATAAAATGAGAAGTTCCATGAATGACAAACCAGTATTACCAAAAACAGGGGTGGAGTGAAAAAAGAGAAAAGGTGAAAAAAAAAGAAAATCAAGAGAAAAAAGAAGCATCAGATCATATAGTACCATCAGGTATGTTGGCACTTAAACCATGCTTCACATGGCCAAACTGCTGGCATTTGCACCTTGTGATTACTGTATGCAATTTCTTTCTCACACTCACACAAAATCCATTCTCACACTTTGCTCTGTATCCCGGGAGACTGACTTCAGACTGCATCTCACAATTTCATTGCCTTCTGTCTTCCTAGTTTGGATTTATCCAAAGTAGTCATCAGCCGGGGATCAGAGGTTAGGTGGTAAAAAGGTCAGGAGTTATTCACTTACCCCTGACTTCAGCTCAGTTCCGACATCTGTGGCACCCCAGCCGCTGCTTCTAGGCTCGGTTGGGTGAGCCCTGTTCTAAATTTTCATCCCTCACTCCTGAGCCCAATAACACCCTCCTCTTCCCCTTTACTCTTGACCTGGGGAAGATAATGGCATGGCATCCTTCCACTGCCAGTTACTGAGTGCCTCGGCATCCCCTGTTGTTCAAGTTCTGCTCTTATCTCTCTCTTTTTTAAAAACTTATTTTAATGGGAGAATAATTACAGTATTGTGATTGTTGTGCCATATATCAACATGAATCGGCCCTAGGCATACATACGTCCTCTCGCTCCTGAGCCCCCCTCCCACCTCCCTCCACCCCACCCCGCCAAGCTGTCACAGAGCGCTGGCTTAGCATGCCCTGTGTCATAAACCAACTTCCACTGGATATTTTCCATGTGGTAATGTATATGTTTCAGTGCTATTCTCTCAAAGCATCCCACCCTCTCCTTCTTCCGCTGAGTCCAGAAGTCTCTTCTCTGTGTCTCCTTTGCTGCCCTTCACGTAGGCTCATCGGTACCACCTTTCTAGATTCCATATGTGTGTGTTAGTATATGATATTTGTCTTTCTCGCTCTGACTTACTGCAGAACTCTGTATAATAGGTTCTAGGTTCATCCACCTCATCAGAATTGACTCAAATACGTTTCTTTTTGCAG